CTCTGGGGGCCCGCCAGCCGACACTGTCTGGCTGACGGCATCTGAAGGAGGCCCAATCTGTGGCTGCTCCGACTCTTTGGAATCAGCTACCCCCAGAGATCCGGAGATTTTTGTATCTCTGTTAGTAAAATTTTCTAACTGCCCACCAGTTCCACAGTAATGGTGATTTATAAAGTAGGGAAGTAACTTTACTTTATAAAATTTATAAAGCAGAGTTACACCAAACCCTTACGTCCCACCATGAAAGCTGGAATGCCCACTAGTGGGTGGTAGGGACCAGGTTGACTACTACTGAGTTAAGCTATCGGTCTCCATCTCCAGTCCCGATAGAGACTGATAGCAAACCAAGAGATAAAAATGGATTTATATAAACCAATACAGGTAGCCATCACTTAATAATACTTAATTGGGACCAGAATTTTTGTCCCAACTTTCTACTTTGTTTCTCTTTACTTGGTCCTGTTCCTCTAATCCTAAAAATCCCAGCCTCTGCTTTTTTATTTTTTTGCCATTGCTCCCAAAAAGTTTCTCTAGCTTAATTACTATCTGAAATTGAGTGGCTAGTTCTCAAGGTTTATGCCTATCCTTGATTGGAAGACAGGGCTTTATTCCATTTGTAAATATATGTCACCCAAACTCTTGAGATCAGGTATAATAAGCATTGTGCCAGAGGTTGGGGTAACCAAGACAGAAAAACAAGAGAAATTCTCATTTTCATATCATTTTTCTCCAGTACACCGAACTTGGGACTGAAGGAAGTGATCTTTGGCTGGCTTCCAGCAGTGATCGACGTGTCAGTGTCTGGATTTCTGACTGGCTGAAGGACAAGTGTGAGATCATCGATTGGTTAAGCTTTCCGGCTCCCACAGGTCCTGAGGTGAGAGTAGGTTACTTTTCTGTAGTAATTCCATCACATAGCAAATCATGTTGTCTTGGTTATGTTTCTAATTTGGATCAATTTATGGTCCAGGAATTACTCAGAAAGATAATCCACAGCTAAGGTGTGTGTATATCTCTATTTGTTTAAGTTAAACGATAAGTTTCCATACTTAGAAAATGCTTAGAAAGGTAAATTTTCTGGAAGGGGTCTTGGGTCTTGGCTGATCAGCAAAAGCTCTCCAAAGGTAGTAATGATTGTTTATGTCATTTCTGAATTGGATATGGGCTGGTTAGTGCTAGCAATATCACTTGGACTTATATACCGCTTCATAGTGCTTTTACAGCCCTCTCTAAGCGGTTTACGGAGCCTGAGCCTGAGACAGACCCGACCCTTCACTAGCTGGGGAAGTCCGAGGCAAACAGATCTTTCTCAGAACAGAGAGAGTGCAAATGAGTGGTGGACAATGGGCAGTGGGAAGTCCAGGAGGAAAAAGGTGAAGTTTTCCTATGCTTTTTTGACGTGGAATAGTTAAAATTGGCTTTTCTGCTTCAGCACCCATATGGAATCTTTAGTAAAGTCTTGGTTTAGTCTTGGTTAAAAAAAATGTCCCAGGAGGGGTTTTTTTTTTTTGGGGGCCATCTTACCCAGTGAGATGGTTAACAACTGCATTCTAACCACTGTGCCATCATGGCTGTTTCCAGATTACATGCACCCGTCTGATTTCCTTTTCAGATTCCCAGTCCTCTACCTCCTAGCCTGGCAGCATTTTGCCCTTGGGATAAAAGTACTATTGCTTACGTTGGCTTTGGATTGCAGAAAGAGATCCTCTTTTACAGCTTGCAACAGAAACAGGTATGCGGCGTTGTCTTGACCAGTGGCTGCATCACGGAGTCATTGGTTGAATCTGGTGAGGCATATGTGTTGTTGATGAGACCACTTCAGCCTTCAAGCTTGGGGAGAAGGTTGAGGCACGATTGAGAGCGTTTTAACAAACTGCATCACTGTTTGGTATGGTGGCAGCAGTGTCTCAGATAGAAAGCCCTTACAGAGAGTGGTGAGGACAACCGAGAAGTTTATAGGAAGCTCGCTTCCCATTATTCATGATACTGCTTATAAGCGCTATGTGCTTAGAACTCAAAGCATCGTTAGAGACCCACTTTATGGTCTGTTTCTGTTGCTCCCCTCTTGGAGGAGGTTTTGAAGTATCTATAGCAGGTCTACTAGATTCTGTAACAGCTTTGTTCCTTATACCACCCGTCTTGTAAACTTATAGGATTCTTTTTTTTTTGCCACGTATATGTAAACATTTGAACTAGCCTGTGATGTTTCTTTGTGTGATATATGTGTATGTATATACATATATGCATAATAGTTGTTTTTGAGAGCAGAATGTGATGAAATTTCATTTTAATGTATACTGATTATTGTACTTTTAAAGTGGCAATACAGATTCTATTCTATTATTCTATTTTCTATTCTATATTCTTTTCTAATCTATTATTCTATTCTATTTCTGTTCTATTTTCAATTCCATTCCATTTCTATGCTATTCCTCTTTATATCAAGATCTGCATAAATGCTGGATGTGATAAAAGAGCATAACCTCTGATGCCACCTAGAAAACATAGCAGCCAAGCAGTAGAAACTTCTCACCGCACCTGCGATTGTCTGTTGTATCATAGAGTTGGACTGAATTAGAGAGAAGCAGAAATGCCAATTTACTGCTGTACTAATGTTTTCAGGTGCTTATTTCCAGCATGATTGAATACCATTCATTCGTTCATTTATTTATAGAAAGATTGAGGGTATGGATTTTTAATTGGAAGAAGAAATCCCTGAGAAGAACAGGGCAAAGAACTGTAACCAAGATAATGTCAGACATTTTTTTAAATGACATTTTTGTTTCCCCCTCATGTCACGTAGGTCATTGAGAAGATTCCCTTACCTTCCTTTGCTGCTTCGCTGAGTTTGTCTCCATTTGCCTGCACCATCGCTGTTGGCTTCAGCGGTACGTATCTGGAGAGGTTAAATGTGTCATGTGTCGTTTTCTCTCAAAAGCAAGCTAGGCAGCCCTGGATGTTAGCAGCGCATTACCAATGCTCCAACAAATAGAGCATTGGTGCAAACAAATCAGCTTGCAGGGAGTTTGATTCACGCCAGGTTTTGTTTGTTCACTCTCAAGCGTCCGGTGTCCAAACTTGGGAACTTTAAGACTTGTGGACTTAAACTCCCAGAATTCCCCAGCCGGCTTGGTCACCCCTGGTTTAAGAGCTTCAGTCATCACATTTTTTCTTCAAGTTTTTAGCATTTAGGATTAGAGACAGTAACATTAATGTTAAAATTAATTCTTGCTCTTTTTCCCTCCCTGCCTGATATATTTTATTATTGCTTTATGGAGATCTTCAAAATATTTTTTTCTCCCATCTTATTGGAATTCTTTGAAATAAATATAGTAACCTCGGTAATACATTCATCTTAATTGTAGCTATCCTTCCTATTAACGATAGTTACATTTTTTTTTCCATTTTTCCAAGTCTGTCTTAGTTTGCTGTATCAGCTTATAATAATTATCTTCCTTAATCGTTACCCATCTCGCTGTTAATTGGATCCCTAAATATTTTACCTTCCTTGTGATCTGGAACATGCATCAATAGAGTTAACGTAATTAATAGAACTAAATAGGAGGATTGCTATAGCAGTAGATATTTATGGTATTGGTATTAAACTGGAATAGACAAATAATGAATGTGATTGTAAATATGAATTGTTATTGCGTAAAATATTTGTATCCAGATGACACACTGTTTAATGGGCAATGGATTGTTTATATCATAATAAAATAAAAACTTAATTTAAAAAAAAGGATTAGAGATAGAACCTGAGATGAAAACTGGGTAAGCAAGTCACATTTGTTTGAAGATGTTGGCTACCAGATGTTTTACTTCCCCTGTAGTTCCCTGTAGTTCTACAACATTTCAGTATGCCACCCAACCGTAAACGTATCTTCTCTTAGTCAATACCTTTCTCTGCCCCGCAGAACGTATGCTGAGACTGATTGATCGCGCAACAAGGACATCGGAGGACTACGCAGGCCACAACGACACAGTTTGCCTCTGCAGATTTGCCCCCTCTGGGAAACGCCTCTTCACAGCCTCCTACAATGAGATCCTGGTGTGGGAAGTCCAGAGCAGGTGAATGGAGACCATCCCCTTCACCATCATTTTGGCCTGCTGTCCAGCGTAATCATGGCCAGATGGTGGTTGCTTGTGAACCCTGGAATGACGCTCACCTCCTCTTATCATGGGCCAGCTGCAACTTCTAGCCCCAAGTTAAATAGCCCCAAATTTGGGGAGGCGGGGACAGGCAGCTATCTAGGTTAGAGCTGAGCTGTCACTTGAATCCCAGTCAGTGTTGTGGCCCGTCAGTAGAGTCGGACAGTAAGGAGGTTGTGGAGGAACATGGGCTAGTCCTGGGGACTGAGGCAAGCTCAGAGCAGGGCTCTGCGTCGGAGGCAGAGAGGGAGATAGATAGCAGTGAGGCTGAGGAACAGCTGGAGCCTATTCCCAGTGTGTGCATGCACAGAGCTGCCAGAAGACAAGAACAACTAAGAAAACAACTAAGAGTAAAGTCACAGGTGAAAGGTGATTGGCCCCTCCCATAGGAAACAAAAGGGGAACGAATGAGGAGTGGGATTTTGCAGGAAACAATTTGTTCATTCAGTCGTGTCAAGAGTGGAAAGTTCTGTTTTTGATTATAAGAGATTCTGTGTCAAGTTTTGCTTTGCCCTGCATTTGGACACTAGTTATCTGGCAGCTCTCCAAACGAGATAAGGTGCATGTTGATAAGCATTCCTTTGAAAGATTGTTTGCTAAAGCCTTGCTGACTGTGAATGAAAGGAATTCACAGTCACGTAAATAAAAGAGGTTTTTTCAGGGACCAAGACTTTGCTTCTTGCTTTCCAAGGAAGCCTCGGTCAGAACAGTCAGTGGGATTCAAGTGACAGCTTGAATTTAGCCACTAGCATAGAAGTCAGTTCAGAGGAGCTGTGTGGTGGCCTAGAGATGGAGTTCTCACCTCACAATCAGGAGGCTGTGAGTTCAATCCTAGGTAGAGACAGATATTTCTCTCTCTGGGCATACTGAGAATGTATCTGCTGTACAAAACTCTGCATGGGCCATTAAAACTGATGATGATAGCAGTCAATTCAGAGCCTGCAGGATTTGGAAGAAGTTCTTCCTCTTCTATTTACAGTTCAGGATCCTTTTTTTAGGATACAGGCAGCCCACAAGGTGCTTTTTCAAAAGGCAGCTGGACTTTGTTTTCCTTGAAGAGGTTTCTCTTCTCATCCAAGAAGCTTCTCCAGTTCAACTGCAAAGAAATGTAGAACTAAAGAAGCTTCTTGGATGAGAAGTGAAACCTCTTCAAGGAAAAACAAAGTCCAGTTGCCTTTTGAAAAAGCACCTTTGGGACAACCTGGATGACGGAGAATCTCCATAAAGATTTAGGTTACAGATAGTTCTCGATTCACGAGTGTAATTCAGCCCAGAATTACGGTCGTACGTCTGGCCAGTCATTAAGCAAGTTATCCTGTGACCAACCTGATTTTTATTACTTTCTTTTTGGTGGCAGTCGTTTAACGAATCTCCATGGTTGTTAAAACAAATTCACGGTCATTAAACAAATACCGTTAAGTAAACTTCACTGTCCGCAATGGACATTGGATGCTGGGTTTTGGCAAAAAAAAAAAAAGGTCATAATTCGCAGTCATGTGACCACAAAGGGTTGGGGCTGTTGCCCAGGGCGCAAAATGCGATAATGTGACCATGGGAGGGGGTGGCTTTTGGAGCTTCGAATCCAGGTTGTAAGTACCTTTTTGGGGTCCATCGTAAATCAAGGATTATCCGTAGCACCTTTCTTTGCATTTGAAGCCACGATGCTAAATTGTCTCACTTCCTAATAGTTCCGCAGATAACTCTAGTTTGTCTCATTCTTTTTTCAGCTCACCAAAGTAGCTTGATCAGCCCCTCAGAACCACGAGCCAAAAAATGGCCGGATGTTAATAGGGGATGGCTGATTCTCCCTGGCTTTTTGACATGATAGCAGTTGGCAGACGCATCCATTGCGAGAGATCTCATCACCTCTGGAATTGTCAGGTGGCATCTGTCCAAGCGCCTTTTTAAAAAGTGGGGTGGTTTTTCAGAATCAGTGGCCCAAGCTGCCGATTATAACAACTGATCTCCATTCTTCTGATGTCCCTACAAGAATACGTGGATTTTAAGTAACATGCGAACCCCAGCTAAAGTATTTGGCCCAGGGGAGATCTATTGTGAAACAGGGAAGAGGGTAGCACAATGTTCCTCTCTTCTGTTGCAGTTGGTTTTAGTTCCCTTACTCTTACGCATTGTGTCAAATGTATATATGTATATTTTGCATATTTTTCTACAACTAAAATAGCTTCTTCTTTTTTTTAAAAAAAAATTGCATTCTCTTCCAGGAACTGCATTTTGATTGTATAGTTTTATAGTTGCCGGTTACATTTTCAAATGAACATTTAGCTGAAAAGGAATGCCTTTCTCCCATTCTTGCTTTCGGTTTTTCTCAGTAACGGGATCACACAAAGCATTAACCAAAAAGAAACACTGCTGAGCATCAACTGCTGAGTAGGCTTTCAAAGTACAGGTTCACCTTTTAAAGGATTTGTTTTAGAGATCAGGAACTTTCAAGCTCATTTTATACTCGGAATTTATAAAGATGATGACTTTTGCTTTTAGAACGCATGGTGAACGACACACAAGTTTGTTCCTCAGGTAGTGTGATCGGATACCAGCAGTGCAACAGGTGTTTCTTTCCTTTCTTAACCTTGGCCTGTAACAACCCGAAGCAACAACATTCACTTTGCACTTGGTTTTTGTTTGTATTTGATAACAAAAGAATTGGACTTGTTTTAATTTTTTTAAAAAAATTCCAAATAAATGAATAGTTTTGTGTATTTCAACCTCTGCGGCTTTCTCTTGTTCCAGAAGTTAAGAAGATTCAGCCAAACGCTCCTTCTTTCATAAAACCTGAGAAAATCAGCCCCATTTTAGCTGTATAACCAACCCCCCAGAGTTGTCTACAGGGCACAGTCAGAGAAGCCAAGAAAAAGGCAAGCCAAGAAACATCTGATCGGTTTCACCCATTTTTAATGGATGCCAAACATAAAAATAGATAAAATATTCAATCCCACTGTCACAGCTATCTTGGTTTTTTTTGACAGCATCCAAACTGGGCCAAAGTTTTTATCTTCTGAGCTTTCAGACTTGCAGTGGAGCTCATCCTCCGGGAACTTCTCTGTATGCTTCGGGCTATTCCAAGGGTCAGCAACCCGCAGCTCTCGAGCCGCATGTGGCTCTTTCATGCCTCTGCTGCGGCTCCCTGTCGTCAAGTCGGCACCACAATTTTGAGGAGTTTCCGGGTTTTTTTGGTGGGAGGGGGGGAGCAGGATACGCCAAGAGACTCTGGCAAGAGGTGGGTTTTCCAGTCAGTTCCACAATTGATAAGGCTTTCGGTTAGGACAGGTGGAAGAAAAAGGATGCCGCACTAGGAAGAGACTCTATGGTAGAGAGAACCGGACTTCCGGTTGGCTCCAGAATTGAACGAGGGGGGGGGGGGCTTCCAGTTAGGACCTTTAAGTGTTTAAGGACCTTTAAGTGTTTAAGGTTGCCGACCCCTGCTTTGGTCTATTTTGTGTGGTATTTATGTGGTGCCTCTTGTGTGTGGCTTTTTATATGTAGATTGGGATATTGATGGCTGCCTATTATGTTTACCTCCACCTTAGCCATTGAAAGAGGTTGCTGTGGCCAATGTCGGTTAGTCATCTGTAACTAGGAGAAATTTCCTCTTCCCATCCCAAAGGTGCTTTTTTTCAAGAAGCAATTGGACTTTTTTCTTTTTCTTTGAAGATGTTTCGCTTCTCACCCAAGAAGCTTCTTCAGCTCTGACCGGATGGTGGGGAATCCTCCCATTTTATTCAACATAGAATATGCTCCATATTTTTTTCCCTCTTTTGGCCCCATGAAATCACAATGAAGCAAATAATACGAATTTATTTCTGTAAAACGTTTATTCCCACGTAAATCACAGAGCACAGCCTCCCTGGGGTTTTATTTCCTAGAGGGACTTAAATACTCTCACTTCTCCAAGTAGGTGGAGACGTCATCCAGGCATGGGAATGACTCCGTCAGGATCCCATACGACTAGGTCTATAAGTATTAAAGACACGCCCACTAGGCTCCTCCCCAGAAATAGACTCAGTCGATCTGAGGCTCTCTTCGTCAAATTCCAGCCTGGAGCTAAGAGAGGCTCCAAGGCCTCCTCTTTGGACATTGGTCGTCGGGTACAGACGGCTATTTCTAGGGCGTATTCTGCTCTCTCTCTGCCTGTTCCACCTCATATCACGGCGCACTCCACACACGGCCACCTCTGCGGCCTGATCGTCTCAAGCTTCATTGGAGGAGATATGCCGAGCGGCCACATGGACCTCAATTTCTCCATTCATCTGACACTACAAGCTTGATAGATACGCCTCAGCAGATGCTTCATTTGGACGGGCCGTGTTGCAGCATGTGGTTTCTACTTAAATTTTCTTCTCTTATTCCATTCCCTCCTGATGGGATTATTGGGCTTTGGTATGTCCCATGCCTTGATGATGTCTCCACCTACTTGGAGAATGGGCGTTGGTTCCTTTCTCAGGACGGTGGAGACATCATCCAGCCCCACCCTGTTCCTTTGACTTACTTCTGGTTTTTCTTCTCTGCTGTTTTCCTTGGGGAGAGGTAATATCTATCGTTTCAGATCGTTTAAACAGCGGTCTACAAGTCACTCCATCTATTTCTGGGGAGGAGCCTAGTGGGCGTGTCTTTAATACTTGTAGACCTAGTCATATTAGATCCTGACGGAGTCACACCCATGCCTGGATGTCGTCTCCACCGTCCTGAGAAAGGGCGTATCAGGTGGGAACTAATGCCCATTTTCAAACTTTCACTTGAGGGTTCCATAAATACAAAATAAAAATAAAAATACAGACCAAGGTGCATTTAAAAAAGCTGGCTCAGAAAGAATTAATTTTTACTTCAAAATATATTATTAAAAGATACTCCTATTGCTATCCTAAGAAAATGTTCTTCTTTTCAAATAAAAAACACTTTTTAAGAGATTCTCTCAAAAATCTCTGATTAAAAAAGATTAGCAGCCTAGTAAAACCCTTTTCTGTATCTCCTGTTATTCTAGCCTGCAGAATAAAATTAGTGACTCTACTTGCGTAACTTTTCAAACTAGGAATCCTGGCTTTTTAAACTACAGTAGCTACAGTAATCTCACCACTGAAATCTTTTCCACTGGTTATTTTCTTCTGTACATTGAAAAAAAAAATACAAAAAGGCAAAAAGGATGTTTCTGAATTACCAAGAGAATAAAACATATAATCAAGTATTTTGACATCAAGTAAGTCATTTTGGAAAAGGGAAAAAAATGCAATTTTTAAAAAGCTTGGCAGATAAATTCCAAAATATTTTCTGCAATTCCCCTGAATAAAAACAGATCTACAAATAGCAAACATATACAAGCCCAGATCATTTTGATGCCCCATGTTTGGCTACCTGTTCAGAACTATGCGTTAAAGCAGTGTTTCTCAACTATGGCACGGTTTTTAAGATGTGTGGACTTCTATTCCCAGAATTCTCTAGCCACTATGCCACTGAAGTCATGAACAGTTTAAAGTTGAAGTCCACGATGCTTAAAAGTTGAGAAACACTGGGTTAAAGAAATACGGTTCTTTATTTCAACTGATAAAACCTGGATCGATAGGAGCTTCCGTTGAAGGCTATGCTAAATCATCTTGAAAAGCAGTTTTTGGTTTGTTAAATTGTTAAATCCAAGAGAAGAGGAAGCAAAAGGCAACTTATCGTCCTTTAGCACAGTGGTCTCCAACCTTGGCAACTTTAAGACCTGTGGACTTCAACTCCCAGAGTTCCTCAGCCAGCAAAGGTGGTCTCCAACCTTGGCAACTTTAAGACCTGTGGACTTCAACTCCCAGAGTTCCTCAGCCAGCAAAGCAAAGCTGGCTGAGGAACTCTGGGAGTTGAAGTCCACAGGTCTTAAAGTTACCAAGGTTGGAGACCACTGCTTTAGCAAGCATATAAATTACACAGTCGCGAACCATACCCTACCCTTCAGAAACCCAAACGGTCCTCTATGTAAGACAAACATAGAACCATGGGTTTGGAAGGGACATCAGAGGTCTTCTAGTCCAAGACAGGAGACCTCGTAACATCCTTGCCAGAACTGGCTGAATACCACCTCCGCTCCTAGGCTATGGTTCCAGTTAAGGCAATAAGGAAAAATGGCAACCGACTCCCAAGCGATGGAGCAAAAATGTCTACATTATCGAAGAACGGTACCAACTTCTGAGGTTTCTGCTCCATGGAAGAGGAACGCTTGATCAAGCAGGTTAACGCTTTCTGACAGATTTGTGTCCCAGGCGGCCTCGGGATTGTCGGCCTCCCAAGTTGCTACCAGATCCCTGTCTTTGGTCCCACCCTGGATCTCTTCCAGGGGGACAGAGACGTACTCCCCGTGTTTGTGACGTGTGTTGGCGTTGCGGAGAGCCAGTCTGACGTTCACCAACACGCTGAGCAAAAGCAGGGCAAGCAAACTCAGGCTTATCGCGACCCAGACTTTCCTGCAAGAACAAACCACGATTCGTGAATGAGGGCAGAGAGG